CCCTACTAAAAAAAAAAATAGAAAAACTAGCTTGGCATTGTGATGGGTACCTGTAATCCCATCTACTTGGGAGGCTGAGGCAAGAAGATCACTTGAGCCCAGGAGTTAGAGGTTGCTGTGATCTGTGACACCATGGCACTCTATCCAGGGCAACAGAGTGAGACTGTCTCAAAAAAATAAATAAATAAATAAAAACAAAAGCAAAAAAATAAAACAATGTCTTAATTTTTTAGCTGAGTGAATAAGAGTTGCTTTTTAGTATGCATAAGGCTGATTATGTAGAAACTTGGAGATAATATTTATAGCTAATCTGAAATTTACTTAACACTTAATTGTATGCCAGTCACTATTCTGGGTGCTCTATATGCTATATGTTATCTAATTTAATACACTGTTTGACATTCCCTTTAATCAGAATTTAAATTCTATGAAGGTAGGGATTTTGGTGTTCTTACTTACTGGTGTATTTCTAGTGCCTGAACTGATGTTAGGAACATAGTAGGTATTCACTAATTATTTGTGAGTAGGGTAGGTATTTCCCCATTGATGGCTGTGTATAGATTTAAAGATAAGGAGAAATGTTTTAAATGAAGTAGAAAGAATAGGGAGAAAATATGGCGATTTGATTTCTAGTTCTATAGTGCTTTTTCCTACCTGAATGATCCTTTATAAATTAGCTCCTCTTGCACCAGTGTATTGTGGATGTAAGATTTAGAGGCTGGGGGAAGCTACATTTTGATACAGTAGTCCAGACATCTTTATTTCTGTCAAGGGCAGCTCTTATTGCTACCACTGCATTAGACGGAGTGAGATTCAATTAAAAGTATCAGCTGAACGCTATCATTCATACCTGTAATTGCAGCACTTTGGAAGACTGAGGCAGGAGGATCACTTGAGGTCAGGAGTTTAAGACCAGCTGGGCAACATAGTGAGACCCCATCTCTAAAAAAAAAAAATCTAGTTGTGGGGGCATAATTGCTTGAACTCAGAAGTTGGAAGCTATATTAAGCTGTGATTGTACCACTGTACTCCAGTCTTAGTGGTCAGAAAACCCCAGATAACTTTGGCTAAAACCAAAGTTTCTTTTTCATGTAGAAGTGTAAAAGTTTGCATTTGCACTATGGATTGGTGTGATGGATCTACTTCGTGAAGTCCTCAGGAACTCAAGTTCCTTAGCTCTCTAGGCAAGGTCTGAGGTGAGGGTTTCCAGGCAGCTGGTATCCAAAGGGTGAAAAGGCCCAACTTGGCCAGTAGTCTCTTTTCCCTGTAAGGTGCCCTGCCGTGCTTCTGCTGACGTTGCTTTGTCCAGATTTTAGTCACAAGAATGTAGTTGTAAGGAAGGCTGGAAAATGGAGTTTTTATTGACAATTGTATCTTTAGTTAATAATTCTATTATCTTGAAAGAAGGGGAGAATGGATATTAGAGACAACTAGTATACTCTGTTTAAACATTCACTATGGTAGTGTAGGAACTGGCCCAGGGGAGTAATTGTCTTGCTTAGCTGATGCTTCTGGGAGTATGTTTTGGTGTCCCCACAACTTGCTTTCTCTCAATTTGCCAGAAACGAGTCACAGAGCCAGTAAAAGACATTTACTATTGCTGAGGGAAAAGGTTGTAGGAAATGCAAAAAAAATAAAAAAAACCTCACAAGATAATTATCTTCATTGTTTTAGGTATTTGTTGTTGTGTAGCAAACCACTCTAAAGGTTCATGGTTTAAAATAAGAATTTATCATTTTTCATAATTCTGTACATTAGTGTCTTTGTATTGCTGTAAAGGAATACCTGAGCCTGGGTAATTTATTTAAAAAAGAGGTTTATTTGGCTTGTGGTTCTCCAGGCTGCATATGGTGTATGGTGCCAGCACCTGCTTCTGGGGAGGGATTTAGTCCGCTTTC